GAAATACATTGACAGCCCCTTAAAGTTGGCACGTGAACTGCCAGTATGGTAACAACATTATTGGGGACATTATTTTTTCTCTAACGTACATGTCCATTTATTTGTGCAGATAATAGTGTATATTTCTCGATCAAGAAATGATCAGATTCCACGTATGTGTCTTCATCAGCTAGTTTTTCTAGAGTGATGAGAAAATGGGAACACCTGGTAAAGTACCTCCGCCATCGACAATGAAAACATTGCCCGATACGTATTGCGAAGAATTGTGTATTAAGTACCGGACCACTGATGTTAAAGCTGGATCTGTTGTTCCAAAAGTTCTCAGAGGAACTGCTTTGAAAACAGCATTATGGAAACGTTTCTGTTGGACAAGGTTCTCTGTTATCTCAGATTTGAAAACTCCTGGTGCTATTGAGTTCACTCTGATCTTGTCTACTCCCAATTCTAGGGCCATTATCTGCCATTAGTTTTTTGAATACTTAATGCAAATATATTATAACAGAGAAGAAAATTGCAGATAAATCAATGGTAGATGCAGCCTTGTAGGAATTAAAACCAAGTAAGACAGCAGGTAGTATGTAGTCCAGTGCCTAGCATAGTGGTAGCAAAATGGTTAAAAGAAAACAATTATCCACGGTGGCGGAGTCAGAATTTTCGTTAAGGGGTGTCAAAATATATAAAAATAAACATACAAGAAAATTGAGGAGAGTCAATACATATTATATATACATATAATTCTTTTTACCTACCTGCACAGTGTATTTCCCCCACGACGGGGTGTCAAATAGATTGGATAATGAACTTTTAAAAAATGGGTCAAATATGGATAAGAACCATATTATCCACTTAAAAAATGGATAATCAATAGATAACTAATGGGTTTAACTTTTACATTTGTAAAGTCTCAAATTGGGGATCCTCAAGTTTAGAAGACTAAGAATTCTCCCTAAAGTGATCATATTCAAGAAGTCATGGATAAAATGAATATCCATATTATCTGCCGGTTAACCTGTTTTTATCTGTATTAAATATGGATCGGGTCGGATAATTTATCCGTTTTTGCATTACCCGTTTTCGATCCACCCATAACCGTTTGCCACCCACTGTAGCCACATACAGTGAACGATAGTCAACCGGACATTCTTTATCAGAAATTATACTACTACGTATGAATAAAAAATTACTTTTCGACATGCATGTCAAATCTTGAACACCCTTAATAAAATTCCTGGCATATATATACGCACCTTAGTGACCATGTCAAGAGCTATCTTTGAAGAAGCGTAAGCAAGACTCCCCGGTAATAGTGCACGGTTCAGTGCAGCAGCTGAAGATATATTAATGACAGATCCTCCGCCCTGTTTAGCATCGCGCATGCGTCTACAGACATATTTGGAAACCAGCCAAGCCCCTCTTAGGTTTGTATTAAAGGTA